TGTAAATGCTTAGGATGAATAGAGAATGTATCACAAGCCTGCCAGTTGAAGCATCATAGCTGGCATAACTGGTACTTACACATTACAACTAGTAGTAGAAGTAATTTAAAAAGCCCTGACTCCCTGACAAAAATCGGTGATAATCAGTACAAACAGTTTGTGATTCAAAGAGTTAACTTTTTCATTGTGGAAAATATTTTTAAAGCATTTAAAAACAAGATGAAGACTATTCATGCATTTGACTACATATAAAAGATACAATGGTGCCTCACATAACGAGCACACCGTTTAACGACGAATTTGCATAGCGATCCGTTTTTTGGGATTGCTAATGCGATCGCATACCGATGCCTAGATAGGCAAAAACTCGTTTTCGCATAGCATTTTAAAAAAATCAGCTGTTCGGCGGTTCCAAAATGGCCGGTGGAAGCCCCAAAATGGCCGTGCGCAGCGTTTTCGCGCCCTGCCCTCGCTTACTGAGGGCGCGAAAATGGCGGCCGGATGGGGAAACATCGCTTAACGGTGAGTTTAGAAGCCATTGGAACGCATTAAACTAAGTTTAACGCGTTCCTATGGCATTTTCCGTTCCGTATAGCGATGTTTCCCCATAGCGATCATTAATCCGGAACGGATTAACCTTGCTATGCGGGGCACCACTGTATAGTGGAACAGGTAGAAGGATTACACTTGTTGCTCCGTCTGCCACATGTTCTTATATCTGTAAATGAATAAATGAACAGTAATGTATGTCTCTTACACAAAATTAATTATATTTTATCCCACTTTTCAGAGATTTATCACATGTATGTAATATTTGCATAAGAATATGGTGTGACATGAAATTTCACTTTTAAGAAAGAGTCAAACCAAATTAGAATCTGAATGCAAATCTAACACCCACTTTAGAAACATTTTTGTTCCACAAATCAAGTAAACAGACAAAAATTTTAAAAAGTCCTTCCATGGGTTTGAATTGTACTAGAATCAAACATTAAAATTAGTAAATAGTTCTGAAGTGGTCCAGTGGCTGGACTCAAAGTAGATCTTATTGAAGATAATGAAAAAAACTAAACAAAATTCTAGCTAAAGGAAGATAGGTGAGCCGCTCTACTCCACAGGAATCTTGGGAAAGTTTCCTCTTTTACACTCCCCAGAATACCCCAAGCAGGAGGAAATCAAAAGCAACAACATATAGTCTCCTCCAAGTTCTAAACTGAGAGTGATACTCTTTATGTCTCCTGTGTCTGTCTTGGTACTAGGCACAAAGTCTTTCTATAAGAATACAGAAAAAAGCTAATCTAACTGAAATGTGAACTAAGTTGGAACTTCTTATGTTTTATATTCCAGATGATCAATTGCAAACGATTCATCTTTTAATAAGAACGATCTTTTAAGTTCAGGTCTTAGCCTTACACATGTAGCATGCCTATCCATGTCCAGTGCATACAACATTGTTGCTGGAACAAGTACTGCATTAGGGTTTTGTTTTTTGTTTTTTTGCCACTGCTTCACACTGTTGATTCATGTTTAGCTTGTAATCTACTAAGAGTCCTAAATCCTTATTCACATGTACAACTTCCAAGTGTCCTTGTGCTGCACTTTCATTCATCAGCACAAGCCAGCTCATGAACCATGTGATATTCCTCCCCAACCATTTAATAAAGTTAGAGCCCTGTAATAACGAAAGTAAATAAATGTTATATAGTTATACCACAAAAGAAATGAAATTATACCTCATTTTGTTAGCAGTATAATGTAACTTTATTATACCTTATTCTTAAAAATAGGAACAAATTGTGAGTACGTTATTGTGTTTAGCATTGCTTCTAAGCTCTGAGAAGAACATACACAGCCTGGGGATCTTCTAAGGCAGTGGTTCCCAGCCTTGGGTTCCCAGATGTTCTTGGACTACAACTCCAGAAATCCTGGCCAACATAGCTACTGATGAAGGCTCCTGGGAGTTTTAATCCAAGAATATCTGGAAACCCAAGGCTGGTAACCACTGATCTAGGGGATGGCAACCTCCCTCCCTCTACTCCTTCTCTGCCTCATCCTGGCTCTTCTTCTGGCTGATCCTAGGGTGCAACTATAGAAAAGGAAAAATGTGAATGGATCTGTTGTGAAGTTGCACCTGGAAATCCAGGTTTTCTCTGGGTTAATTCACTTCAGCCAACCACACAGGAGTCTGCAGAAAGTGGGGAGGAAATCAGCCCTGTTTGCAGCTTGTTAACCATTTTAGTCCTCTCCTGGTCCCAATCCCGGAACATTTCCTGCATTATTTGTTAATGTAGTCACCTCTTAGTCAGCATAGTAGTTGCACTAGCAGATCTCTGAGATCAGCTAGCAGAAGAAACATTTGAGACTACAGAGTCACTGCAGCTTGTGTGTCTTTGAGTTAGGTAAGTCACTGTAAGACTGTTGATATAGAATCTATTATTGTCGAAGCAGGAAGGATGCTTCCTCCCACCGCAACAAGATGAGGCAACATTTCCCCAACACTTAGGGCTGTCCCCAAAACTTTAGATCTACCTATTTCCTCAATGAATTGCTGCCATGCTTTGTGACTAATTTCTGCTTTCACTTTGTTAAACTGAAGATGATTTCTCTTGCTGCTTCTTTTTTTAAAAGTTAATTCACATAAATAATGAAACTGCTTGCATTTGTTTCCAGAAAAATATGTATTTTCTTTTATGCAATTGAATTCTGCTCTGGACTAAGGATGGAATGCACACTATATCTGCAAAATAAAAAGTGTCAGAGACTTCTCACTCTCCAATTCACTTTACACATCAAAAATCATCAAAGCCAATAATGAATATACACACAGCACCTTGATTTCTAAATACACAAACTACCATGACTTCAGAGATATCACATTATAATTTCTTACAGGAGAAAACCCTAAAATGCCTCAAAACATAAATGAACATTAATATAACTAAAATACCTCACAAAAACTGGAAGTATTAAAATATTACAAAGTATATACGCAACAATATAAAAACCTTGCAGGAAAGCAAGGCAAGACATGTCATCCCTTTTGAAAAAATAAAAAACCAAAAATGCATAGCTATAGCCATGAAAGTCTGTGATGATCAATGCAGGTAGAAAATATGGAGAATATTTACTCCTTTTCAGCATCCTTAAACTTTACAATATATTAAAATGTGTGAAAATAAATATAAACATTTTCATGAATATTCATGCTCAAATTCCCACACAGGGAAAACCTTTACAAAACTGGTTGTCTCTTCACTCTTTATGGGACAACTGACAAATTCATGCACAAACCTGTAAGATGGGTCAGATTGTATGGGAGGGATTTAGCCAACTTTAGCCACTGAGTTTCATGACTTCCAGCTTTGGCCTATTGCAGCAGAAAAATGTTCTTCTGCTGCCCACCATAATAGCTGCCAGTTTTTAACAGTAATACTGACCCTTGCACTTCCTAGTCTAAAAGAGTACAACTTTAGCCGTAAAATATATGGCTTAATATGTCATGAGCCCTGATTAGTCTGAACACAAACAAGATTAAGGATCTAGCTGTTGGGTGTAAGATAGACGTTCGACTCATGCCCCATCCTATAAGTCCCAAATGAGCCCAAAATACCATCCATGGCTGCACCTAGTCAAAATAAAACCATGAGAAGGAATTGTTAGAGGATTGATTATCATCATCAAGTGTATAATCTTGGTAGGGTGTGGGCTTCAAATTGAAGCAGGCTCCTAGGACTACCACTAAAAAAAATATGCAGCCATTTCATCTTTTCTTTCAAACTTTTTTGGGATTAAAAAAAAGTTGGAAGAACTTGTGGAAAAACTCAGGCAGTATTAGAATGGAAGACAACATATGGACTCACTGAAAAATTCCATTAATGAGGCAGGGTGGTTGCATACCAAGAGTGTCATTGGAAAGAACCCAAAATCTAGAGTCAATAATTGTTTGGATGTGGATGAACAACGCTAATACAAGCCAGGCAAGACAGAAATGTAGATTTAGACCTCTGATATGGGGGTGGGAAATTTGCCCCTTCTGTATGAGGTTACTCTCCCTCTGACAAATCTCCTTTGCAATTTGGGTGTGCTCCTGGTCCAGTTTCATATCTAGATTATCAAACAAAAGTCCATAGCAAGAGTGCCTTTCACAAGATGAAATTGTTTTGCCAACTCTGTCATCCTCCTGGATTTGTTGCCTTGATCCTAGTCATTTATGAATTGGTAAGGATACATTTTAGACTACTGCAATATGGACTACGGAACTGTTGTTGAAGACCAGTTGTTTTATGGGCAAAGTTCAAAGTGATCGTTCTAATCTTTTTAGTGCAGTGAATGGTTTAGGAGCAGGATACCTCTGCAGGCATGTAGTCCAGTATAGCCCCTTGCTACCCTCCCGGTTGGACTAAGATTAGCAAATGATCTGCTTCTTTGACTTTTACCACCTGATAGTAGGCTAGAGGTTTCTCGAGAAGGCTACAGAACAGAGCCTTTTCAACCACAGTACCTATCCTTTACTCTTTACTGCAGGCAAGTCCACTCCTGAGTGCTTTCTGGTGCTTGGTTGTAAAGTTTGATTTAGGATGGTCTTTTGTAAGAATTGTGGTTTTGGCCTTTTCTTCTTCTTTGTTCTGGTTATCTGATTTTATTGTTGATTTCACTGTAGTTATGAAATACATCTAAGGTGTTCAGTAGTTTAATTTGCTGTTTTAATGTTTGTTTGTTTATTTATTAAGTGTGTGAGTCAGCACTTGCTATAGGCTACATGGTAGGCAGAAATTATTTTTTAAAAGATCTGCTGGTTTGGTTAAGCTAGAAAATCAATGATGCCACTCGTGCTCTCATCAGTGTTTCCATTCATTAGTTTTGTCTCTTTCAGGGTTGGGTTTTTTTTTATATATGCTGTATATTTTGGGAACATACTGTAGTTTCAAGATAAAACAGAACTGGACCAATTACAAAAGAAAGGAAAGGTATAGCCTCTGGCCTCTGGGTTTGTAACTTACCAGTCACTACAGGGTATGTCTGGGGTCCTGACACGTTGTTCCCCAGGTCTGGGTTAGCAGAGGTGGATAGACTTGACTTGACTTCATCAAGGCCAGGGGTCAGAGCTGGGAGGGAGTACTCATTACCCTAGGGAGGAGAGAAAAGAAAGCTCTCTAATTGATGGGCTGGAAAGAAGGGAACAGTGGGCAGATGTGAGGGGGAGTGAAGGTTAGGTAGAGGTGCAGTATAGTCCCTGCACAGATGGAAGCAAAGAAGAGGAAAACAGTGCAAATGAACACAATATATGGCCGATGCCCCCATCCATCCTATGCATCAAACAACTCCCTCTCCACACTGGCCAGATTCTACCAGATTTTCCAGGAGATAAGGAAAACTGGAAGTTTTTCAGTGACTATGGGTACAAGGAAAGAATGGGAAGTCTGATGGGCAGGCCCACTAATTCTTTCAAAGAACCATAAGGGAAGCTTGCTGATTCTCTCTTTAGAGGGAGGGGACTACAGATTGTGCATTCAGGTTCTGCTATGGACAGACAAGATTCTCTAGGGTGTTTGCATTGTACGAAACAGGGTCTGATTGCTGGGCAGTTTCTCTCCACAACCCATTCTAGGGCGCCTGACTCCCTTCTTGCTTCCCCCAACTCTTGTGCACTGGGGTATGAAATTGGGGTGGGGGCAGGCCACATGGCTAACAGAAGGGTGGGAGGGGGAAAACTCATTGCATCTGAAAGGGTGTCCTGTCCAAGAGGCATTAGTAATTGCCTTTTTATTGTGGCAGCCTCCAAACCAGACACAGGAACCGGAGAGAGTACAAAAAAAAAGGCAGGAAAAGTTGTTCTGATTAATATTACATTAAATTAAAACTGATTTTCTGCTCTTTTCGCTTGGTTTTTTTTTTCTGTCCCCGCTTCCTATGCCAGCTCCCAGTGAGCTGCCTTCCTCCTGCCGCCCTCCCTGGCCAGCCGCAATTGCCTAGTCATTTCCAATTCCTTCTTGTATTGATCTTCCTGTAGAAATCAGTTTTGTAATTAGCTGCAAATTAGGCTTTCTGCTGGGGGTGAGGCTGCCCCCTGATTTATCACCGGAGTAATTCGCTGTGATCGGGAGAGAAATTAAAATGAACTCAATTAGGCTTTGGATTTGCTTTATGGGCCCCATTCAGAGTTTCTGGGGGAAGAATGACTGTGCTGGTGTTTAATAGTCTAATGAAAGTAAATAAAGGTTATTCATTGTAATAAACTCAGGGACTCTGGGATAGCAGGAGCCCAAAGCCAACTTTGCCTTTGCTACTATTGTCAGTGTACCGCTTGGGGTGGTTTTAAAAGACTTTTGATCTTTGTGTTAAGACAAACAGCTTTGGGGATAAAAGGTAAGTCATGGGAGATAGGAAATACTGTAGGGAGGGGAGCTGTATAGTTTACAGTATAGTTTGGGCTTGGCATCAAGTAGCAAAGAAACACCTAATTCATTCTAGATCAAATCCTTCTCTCCCATTTCCTGGACTGTACAGAAACAGAAGGAAAAGAAGGGGTGAGTGGTTCTGCTGAACTTTTAGTTAGGCCTATTTCCTTCCCTGCTTCACATGCTGTTTAGCACAAAGACATAAAACAGCCAATGGTCTGAGGATAGCACAAGAAACTGTTCAATAGGACTTTTTGTTAAGAAATGCAGCAGAAGAATTCCCATTAAATTGGTGGAGAATCTGTTAAATCAAAGGGGTTTATCTAGTCAGTGATTAATAGTTCAATCCTATGCATGTTTACTCAGAAGAAGGTTCCAGTATGATTAATGGGGCCTACTCCCACATACACAGGACAGTAGATTACAGCTCCTCAGCCGTCCCTATCTAAAGTCTGACTTTAAATACATATTCCTTGAAACTTCTTCAAATAAAAATGTCATATTCTTTAGTGCTATGTATAGGAGCATTATGAAAATATATGAGTTCTCTGACCTAAAGATCTAACTGCTAATCCCAGCTAGTATAGGCCCATTGAATCAAGGGAATTTGCACAACTGTTGATTTACCATTCAGTAACTGATTCAGTGGATCATTCTATTTAGGATTAGCCATTGGGCTTAGGCTACAATATCTACATAGAAGCTTATTTTTGAATGAAAAGCAGAATAAGAATAAATAAATATTTCTATAGGGTAGAAGAGACCCTCCTGTGTGATCGTTTCACAATAAATATTTCATCTATTTAACATTTACATATTGTTTTGTATCTTTTTTTACGTGAAACATCCTGGAACAATCTACTGAAGTGTGGCATGTGAATTCATAAAATAAATAAATGAAATCTGCTTAAAGGGGGAACTTTTAGATCACCTCTGCATGAAACTCCTGTTGGAACTTCTATTTGTGAATGGGAATAAACTCTGACATCAATTGTGAACAAAGATTAAACTGTTTCCTGACAGTGCATGCTGACAGAATCTGGTCAACTAAATCTTAACAATATTCTTGCTGTGGATATACTACTAACAAATATACTACTATCTTCTTCAAAACAATCTTCTGCACACAATATTTTGGTCTGTGTCTCTCATATTTTGGTGTATTTTCAAATGCCGAAATAAATCAACTAGAAGTAGCATGTACACATACCAATAGTGCATGCAGGTAACTATGTTTGCCTGCATATGTTTGCTCTGTGTACCTAAAGTGTTGCTCATGTGGATGTGGACTGCAGACTGCTTTCAGCATTATCTGCAAAGGTGCCTTAAGATACCCAAGTAATACTATGGAAAAGCAGGATACACGTGTAAAAGAAGAACGTGGATATTGCTAATCTCCAAGAGAAAGCTACAGAATACAAAGGACATCTCTATGAATGTCTGCTGTTCCTGAATTATGTTTCCATGTATTATACTGAAAATACACACCACTTCTGAAAGGATTGTGTTTCCTGAAAGGCATGAATATGTGTCTGGATACGTCTACATGGATGTAGATTTTATACAAATGTGCAGACAATCAGGGAAGAAAATGGTGCAAATGTGTATGTGGACTTGCCTACATGTACATGTTAGGCACTTAAAGATTTTCCCTCTGTCTGTCTATGTTCTTGAGGTGAAGGTAGATAGGTGTCTGTGTAAAATTTCAGACTGTCAAAGTTCATGTGTGTCCATGTCAATGGGTAGATATGGAAAAGTGGATACATTTTTGCACATGCCTTGCAGAGTAAAAGGTGTATATACACTACAAACTCATATTCATTTTATGCTAGTTTAGCAGTCATTGCTTCTCCCAAAGAATTCTGGGAGCTATAGTTCAGCAAGGGTGTTAACAATCTTGTTAAGAATCTATATCCCTCACACAACTATAGTTCCTGGGAAGAAGTGACCATGAAACCAGTTTAAAGTCTGTAGTGTAGATCCTCCATGAACATTAAGGCAAGTACAAGTGAAGAATCAACCAGCTGTTGTTTTATGCAGCTGCATGTATCCCACAAGTTTCTTTTTCCCAAGCTGGGTCCACACCTGCTCAGATTTGATGTGCTCTGATGCCTGAAAGACATCGGGGTAAGAAGGACGCTCGAAGACTCGATCTAAAGCTTCCAGCTGCTGTTGTGTGAAAGTGTCGGCACGAAGGTGCTTCCGCAAACTATCCACACTGTTCTGGGAATCGCCGTTGGGGACTGAGCCCTCGGATACCTCTGTGAGACACAGGAAGAGATAACAGGGCATTAGTGAGGCTTGCCTCTTGCTAAAAGTACCTGATGTCTCCTCTCAGTTGTCTTAACAAGAGGGTCTGGGAATCAGCTGTCACTTCCTCCCCACCTCAGGACCACCCGTCCAAGGCATTTATGCTGTCCTTTCCCATTTGAGAAGGTAGTGAGATCCATTCTCTACAACTTTGTGCTCATTACTTTGCCTGGGGTTTGAGGGCCTCTATCAGCTTAGGATGCTCAGGGCTGTGGATCATGAGAGTTTCTGTTCTGCTGAGTCCTACTCTTAGAACTTATGAAATCTGTACCACTTAGGGGGACAAAAAGGAGGAATAAAACAGAGTAATTAATACAACAAAGGCCATACTGAAAAGGACAGAATGGCCATGTGTTAAACTTCAGGGCTTCTACTTCCCTGCCCCACTTCTACATGTGCAGAACAGCTAGTCTGCAGGTCAATTTAGACCCGTAGTTCTTAACCTTTGTTACTCAGATGCTTTTGAACTGCAACTCCCAGAAACCCCAGTCAGCACAGCTGGTGGTGAAGGCTTCTGGGAGTTGCAGTCCAAAACTCCTGAGTAACCCAAGGTTAAGAACCGGTAATTTAGACCTTATGTTTATCAAACCTAAACACATACTTTATGTCAGCTCAAACAATGCACTTTAAGATGAACTGTAAGTAATACCTCCAGAACAGAAAAGGCTAAACAATCTGAGTTATTTACTTCATTGTATCCTAGGGCAGAAACAGATTGTTACAAATCCCACCTCTACTTGCATTAGATCTCCATACTACTTTTACCCAAAACAAAAGAAAAAGGCAGATCTGTCAAAGAGAAGAAACAGCCCAGTTGTGTGTTAGATTATTTTATGTTACGCAAGTATGTTTAAAAGTACATTGTTTTGTCTTGTACATTACAGAAGAATGGTGGAAATTTACAAGTCACCAACCTGTTTACAGTCAGGAGGTAGGCAAGTTACCAAATAAATAGGTCTAAGAAATCTTCCAAACTTTTTTTTCCAAGGCAAGCAAGCTCTTGCTGTTGCAAACCTTACCTATTCCAAGCAAGCTATTATGAGTCACCCTGGTATGCAAACTAGGGTCCCTACTTCAATCTTGCTTCTTTTTTTTTTTGCAAGACTCCTTATACTGCCCCTCTGTTCTACATTTCAGTTTATATGTGATTATACAATATAATAGAATCAATACTGCATTATATACAGTAACCTAATACCATATCACATCTAAGACCATGGACAATATTACATATTGATTAGTACAAACCTACAGCAGCCTGCTGCTTTCCCTCTCTGACATCCTTAAGGCAAAGAGCGGGAAGCTGCTTGGTGGAGTTAACCTTCCTTCCCTCATCTCATTACCATAAAGACAAATCATGGGCTATTCACATCACTAACTCCCATATGCTCAAAATCCACCAGTTCCATTCATGTTTAAAGCAAGATACAAGGTTAACAAGTAGTAAGACCGCTAGAAGGAAGACCAGTCATATTTTAGCTAAGTTCAGTGCTTTTAAAATCCTAGTGATTTATATCAGAGAGATGCAAACACATGTTTAACTCTGTCATTCTGATTTTTTTTTTTTTAAAGAAACTCCCTTAAGGAGAATAGTATCATTACTGGCACCTTGGGAAGACCCATCATCACCATCATCAAGAAGTTATGCAAACACCAGTCCTTTTAAAAAGTCAGATCTTTGTAAGATGTTTGGTTACTTTTGTGCACTTTATATTCACACACAAACACACCCAACTCCAGCTCCAGCAAGAAAATTGGGAGAGGTACCCAAGGGGGTAACGTTCCACGTGAGTGGAACATTCATCCAAGGGAAGCACCAAATAGCTCTTCTGACACAACAGCTCTTAGATTCTGGATTGTCCTCTGAACTGTTTTTTCCTGCACAGGTAGTTCTTGTGTTGGTTTCTGAAGAATAGGAAAAGCAGCACTATGGCAGTTATAGGCATTATTAGGTACCTGCTGAGGCCTGCACCTTACTGGAGCCAATAACTGTCCCCCACACTCCCAGTCCTGCTTCTTCTCCTATTCCTGTTGCTCTCTATTCAGCTGAGTGAAGTGTGGGCAGAGCAAAGAAGCAGCAATAATCCCAAAATATTTGTCCTCTTTCTAGGGAAGGTGGTACTGAATGAATTCAGAGAGGTACCGATATGGGAACACTCAGTGCCAACATTGAGAGGAGGTTCATCCTCCTCCTAAAGCAGAGCAGAGCACCTACATCCAGTACCGAAGAGGTGGATTGTGGCTACAAGCCCAATTGGAGAAGCATAAGGCCAGGTCTTCTCAGGATTAAATGCACAATATATTTTTCTCTAGAATTTGGTTATGGCCTGGGCTAAACAAAATGACTGATATTAGGCCCCTGTGTGACTTTTAGGGTTAGCAAGGGAAAGTAATAAGCAAGGGAAAGTAACAAAGAGGCTGAATAACAACAGACTCTAGGATGGTATAGCTCAGTTCAGGGTCAGAGGCGATTCGGAGCCAGTTAGGTCCCAGGACAGGGTGTCTCATGGTCCAAGCTGTGAAAGCACGGTGCAAATGTTTATGCAACAGGTATGATTTTCACCACATTGAGATAAACTGTACAACATTTCTGGTTCACCAGTCTTTTGACATTCTGCCTTCTCCACATATGTGTCATGTCACTTCAATGAAGAATAGGTGTAAAAGATACTCTCTGAAAATTGAGAAGGCAATGAAAACACTATATTTGGGAAACTTGCCAGTTTTCACTTCACACCTCATGATATTTTTCCACTGTGTGCAAGCCTGAAAGAACAATGATCATCATGCCCACCAGACAGGCCACAGCTTTTCCCTAAATCTTCTTTCTTTCCCCCTTTCTATTCAGAAGACTAACAGAAATTGAAAGTCAGGCTATGTTAAGTGTGTTAAAATGCATACCTCACAGCCTCATGAACTCAACATAACATGCATTAATTACACTGTCTCTACTGTGCAGTTGCAGGAAACAGAGATAAAAGGACTGGCAGGGGTGAGGTGAATGGTCTATGGAGCTGACTGAAAAAAACAAAACAGACCAATAAGTACATATTCAGGGAAGAACAACACAGGGAGGGGTGCTGGAGGGCAGCTGAACCAATGAAAATATGGGGGAGGAAACAACTATCTTAAGTGAATTGACAAAACACTTCTTGGATGTCTTTTCCAGTGATATTGAAGATTTTTCCTCCCTAGGAGGTATTTTCCATATACATTCCAAAGACATGGAGGATCTCAGCACTGGGAATGTTAAGCAACATATGGGATGTATTTCTTTGTATAGTCATTTCTCTATCCTGTGAGCTAGGAAGTTATTGTGCCATTAATAAGTAATTTTCTGCCTGCCTTTGTGGATTCAAAACATGCTGGACCAAAGTAGAAAATGGCTCAGAAACTTATACCTTTCTGTCCTTGGCATTATTTTCCTAACACACATTTCCAGTAACTGCTTCTCATTAACCTCTTTCTTAGTTTGCTTTCTATGTAACTTTTAAATTTTAAATTTTAGCTAATGTTCCATCCATGCTCCCAGGATCTTCAGATTTATTTTTAAACAATTTTTAAAAATACAGCTGATGAGGTGGAGGCGGTAACAGTCAAAACACAGTCAGTCTATGGTCCAAAAGGATACTGAGGGTCTTACCTTAAATTTCTAGGATAAAACACTTCTCACCCCTTGTAGTCAATGTGGTCCAATACACTGAGTATGGAATTTAAATGTATGAACTAAATGAGATGAATTTATGATTAATTTTATAATTTGATAGCCAAGGGTATCCACAAAAATAAATTAGGAGGAGGGAGGGGGAGTATATTAATTATATATTAATGATACCTCTGAATTGTTCACCTCACCGTAGTTGTGCAGCTTATTTCTATTTTACACACAAACTCAGAAACTGTGTACTTTTAAAAATATATACCAAGTTTAGGATGTGAGGAGGACAACTGTGATGATCACGTATGTTCCTCATTAGTTGTCAGACACAATGTACATGTGTTGGGCAGTTGGGCCAAATCACACAGTGTACATGCAGCCAAGTATGAGTAGCCTCCAAAGTTGAAGATCTACACACAGTTTAATTGCTTAAGGTTTAACTTCCAAAAATGACTGCAAACAAGTGACTTCATTGAAATATCATTTCTCCCCCCCACCAGCAAAGTCAATTTTTGTTTTGTCTAATTCCAATACACCATGGATTATGTGCAAATGCAACAGCTCTGGCAGTAGAGAACACATATGTGCTTATTCTATCATTGTAATGCTGTCTGTAAAAGCTTTGAAACCTGAGTCCCAGATCATCTCCATTTTGGGGAGTGCAAACTGAACTGTAATCTAATTAATGCAATCTGCCCAGCAGTCACCTTTGTATCTACGATTCTACACAGTGCATTCATGCCTGTATATAAATGTGCATGTGTATACCCTGACTTTCTTTGCAACAGCTGAAACCTGAGCTCTCTCAAGCCACTGTAAGCTTCTCTTTCCCTTCATTTATTCAGGTCCCTTCAGATCTTGACAAATCTGTCACTCTAAATTTGCGAGAGATTATGGTGCTCTCCCTAGTACCGAGAGAGGTGATATATGATATCTGCTGCCCCTATTGATTGCCTGATCTGGTGGCAGAGGGCCGGCAAAATGAACTTGAAATGAACATCATGCCTCAACTCATTGTGCGTATAATACACTACTTAATCCCACATTTTTCAGTCGCTATAGAATTCAATTGATCAATCATGTCCCACTGATAGTTCTGGGGGTTACTGCTACTTTACACACCAACTCAGGGCATCAAATACGACAGGCCCATACACATAGAGATGGTAAAAGAAATGAAGGGAGAAGCAGGAGAGAATGAATCTGTAGTCCTATACACACCTAACTGGAAGTAGGTCTCAGTGAACTTAGTGACACTTACTTCTGAGTAGACATGTATTGAGACAAGAAGGC